TTATTCTTTTAATTTAGATATTAATATGTTAATATCAAAAAAGAAAATACAATAATTCAGTTAACAAACAGAATATTGTGAGAGTATCAATTATTTGTTATACATTGTATCGCTTTTCTATTTTAATCATTTTAAAAGTTCTCAAAATTTGTTCATTAAACTTTGTTACTGCGAGACTGATTAATCCATTTTTTATGGTTTATCTATCTTTTGTAGGTTATTTAAAGCCAGAAAATATTTTTAGATTGTAAGAATTTTTTTTGGCGATGATACCGATTCAGTGATATAATTTCTGATTAACCCATACCTGTGGGGAGAAGAAGTGGATTCATACCTGTCAAAATTTGATAAACACTCAAGAAATTATAATGTGCATATAGAGTGGGGGATCAATTCTATGTTACAATCAATATACAGACTGATCCCTCACTTTATGGCCGCAGTAGTTTCTATACATTTATATTCCAGAGAATGTAAATCACTCTAAAAGACATGCCTATGCATCGAATCAGCATTTTATTGATCAGTTTGTTTTTTTATGGCTTATCAACCCTTTTCAGGTTATTTAAAGCCAGAAAATATTTTTATATTCTAAGAAATTTTTTCTGGAGATGATAATGATTTATTGATGCAAGTCATACTAATTTACTGGGAGGCAAAGAGGTGGATTCATGCCTTTTCCAAGGCTATTTGCCTGTAAGTGAATATAATGAACCTGACTGGGATTGGAACTCAGCTCTCTGATTAACAATTCTGAGCCATTATCTATTATACCACCCACATATCGAAGCTTACAGCGCCTGGTATTCCCAAATGGTATTACTGAAAGAGTAAAAACATTGCAAATAGCATTTGTATGGTAAAGTTTTCTATTCTATGATAAAAATGGTATGATATATAATATATTTTTCAATATTTCATTTAGATCTGAATGTATATACATACGTGCGAGGAGTGGTAGCTGGCATACAGCAAACAACATCACATTTGCAAGCTGTTGTTTGATTCTCAATTGATGCTCTGAAATTAAGGCCTTGTGCCAGAGCAAGCTCAGATAAGTAAATACTTATACATAATGCAGTGTAAATTTGGTAGATTTTTTTTATATTAAAATATAATTAAAATAATTTTTTTTAAGATTAAAATAAAATTTCTGCTTTCCAACATCAGTTTTTGCAGCTAAAAATGAGCAGGAATTTATTTTCTCGAGACTAGATTTTTTTTTTTTTAAGGAATTTAAGGAAAAAATATTGTATTAATTAAAAAGAAAAAAAAGAAGCTTACATTTTAATATGAGAAAGTGATAGGATCACAAATTTTGCAATTTTTTTTTTGTTAAGCAAGCTAAATTGGACAGAAAATCTAGTAAACATGAAATATCCATGTAATTTTCTGTCATCAATGTTTCTGACATATGAAAACAAATCCAAAATGGTCGACCAGATGAGGTTAGTAACTATGAATTTACAAATTAATATTATCCATTAGTCAAGTTAAAAATTTTGTTTTCAACAAAAACATTGCTTCTAGCTTTAAATATTTTTTCTACAAAAGTATAAAAAAAAAGATAAAAAAGACTGACACAAAATGACCCACGTAATGGTGTGTTCATGATAGGTGGGGTTAATTTGAATCTATTTTTACTTCTAGAGTGAATACTTGAAGAATGAGTTTATGAAAATCTTTTCTATCAGTGCACAAATTGAACTCATGATTCATCAAAGTTTTATAAAACAAACTTGTTAACCAACATTTTTACAGTAGCTGTCCTCTTCTTCATTTTGATGAAATGAAAGTAAAAATTCTATTGAAAACAAGAGTCCTTAGAGCATTACCTAAGTCAAGCAATATTAAAAATGGTCAGGAATTAAATGGGTCATGTTAAAAGCACAAATTCTGGTCCCAAGCCAAGAGTAAAAAAAAAAAAAAAAATATCAAACTCGTTTGGCATGAAGGAAGCAAGTTGAGGCATAAGATACTCAGCTCTTTCCAAGAAAAATAAAACAATTACTTTTTTTTAATCATCAGATAGGTGGGAAATGTTTTGGCTAAATTTATTGGATTTTTTTTTTAACAAAATTTAATGATGGAGAGAAGAAAATCATTTTCTGTGTTTATGTGTGAATAAAGAGGACTGCTACCCAAATACACAATATATATATATATATATATATATATATATTAGTTGTGTATTTGGACAGTAAACCCTTTTTAATACATGTTTTGTTGAACAAGACCAACAAGGTACTGTGGTTTAATTTTTTTAATTATAGTTTTATATCTCTATCTATCTATATATATATATATATATAGAGAGAGAGAGAGAGAGAGAGTGTGTGTGTGTGTGTAGACATAGAAGTCAAGACTGTATGGTGACTGTTAATTTCATAACCCAATGCAATCATCAGACCACTTGACACGTAATACTGAGGGTCACCATGCAGTGTTGATTTCTATGTCTACACTGTCTATAACTACAAATGGTCCATTTATGATATTGATTACTCTTTCCCTATAAATATAGCAAATTTTAAACAGCTTAATATATATATATATATATATATATATATATATATATATATATGTGTGTGTGTGTGTGTGTGTGTGTTTAAACAAGTTTTAAATATGAAAATGGCAAATCAAAAATAAGATTTTCTGTACTTTTCAGGTCATCCCCCTTTTTTTTCTTTTTTTTTTTTTAGCCACTTTCAGCAAGTTCATCATTTGTGAGAATTCTTAAGTGTTGAAAAAGTAGAAAATAGAAAAGTCAAAAGATGGAAAAATAAACAAAACAAAAATAATGAAAGTTCAGAAAATTCATTCACCTTAAAATCTCAATGTGAACAACCAAAATAATAAAAAAATAGCAAACTTTTCCACACCTGAGTAGATACTTGAATGAAACTAATTAATTTCACTTTTAAGCAGGCATCAAAAAAAAAGAAAAAAAAAAGAAGGTCAACAACAAAGAAAGCCATTCCCATTAATTTCTCATTTCGTTTTGTGGCATTGCTTGAGACAAACGCAGAATAAACGTGAAATCAATGACAAAAACAATGTTTCTGACATCATTTACCCAAGAAGACAATTGTTAAAACATTTCTGAGCTGATGTTATTTTACAAACAAAGTTACATTTTGTAGACTTAATCTCAGCTCGTCTGAAATAAATTCCCAGGTAAAGTTCCAGGGTAAATAAATCCAAGTTGACTTTTTTTTGGTGAGGGATGAGGGTGGCGTGCAAGGATCTGTGCATCTCTACCTAACCATTTGGGAATACTCAAAAATAAACACACACACACACACACACACACACACACACACAAAAAGATGTTCGTTTTGGTTTGTAATGCTTTTTGAATAACCTGGTTACCTGTGCAAAAAGAAAAAAAAAAGGTTCTAACAATTTCAGTGATTACTTTTAATCCTATCTACAAGTGTTGAACTAGCCTGAAGATTTTAGCTTACAAAATAAAGGGATGGTGCAAAGGGTTAAAATACTATATTTAAAAAAAAAAAAAAAAAAAAAAAATTTGTATAAAAATTGATTAAAAAACTGTTTTAAAAAACTTTATTTAGAAGAACTGTATTGAAAACTATTTAAAAAAAAAAAAAAAAAAAAAAAAAAACTGTATTAAAAACTACATTAAAAAAACTATTTAAAAAAATTGAATAAAAAGCTATTTTAAAAACAAAAAACAAAATGAAACAAGATCTTTGGTCATCCGCAGCTGAATCCACTTTGGTCCCCAATATAAACAAAAATTAAAAATGTTAAGCAGGTTGATTTATAAGACTCAGAAATTGTGATTTTGCAGGAACCTTTTAAGTCTTTTACACCTTTCTATTTTGGGGAGGACCCTGGAGCCCCAAATTTATTTTGTTTCAGTTAATTTTAAGAGTATCCTAATTTGTTGTTAGGTTAATGATTTAAGATCCTCCTCAAGTTGAATGCATTCAAAATGAAATGAAACAAACATAAGGATAAAGATTGATCACATGGGTTAAGTTTAAAATTCTCACTTTTCTAGCAGTAAACATTTTTGAGAAGATGTTAAGCAAGAACAAATAAACTGCAGATACAAAAGGTGTGCCTTATGATAAACATGGCTAACGTGATGGAAAATGCATTCTTACATTTATTAATTATTTCTCACAGATTTTCTTTTCCAGGAATAAGAACTCTAGATTAATAAGGTTATTAAGGAATTCGTTTAGGATGAAAAGAAATGGAGAAGTACCTATTTGGTAAGCAAGACAAGGTAGTAAAAAAAAAAAAATCTTACAAACTGTTTCATTATTATTATTATCATCAAGAAGTAGCCAGATTCTAAGTTAGAAAAGTCTCTTTCTTTAACCAAGGATCCATTTTGGAATTAGTATAGCAAATGGTGTTCGGTTGTAAATTACATCAACATTTTCCTAGTGGACAAGTACAATGTACGCAATATCTTAGAACAGAGACAGGAATATTTATGTAATTATTTATCACAAAATATCCTATCAGCCATCTTTTTTCTTTGTTTTTTACGTTAAATAAACATAAAGTATGGCAAGGTAACTAAGTGCAAAGAAGAGAGTGTACATACTTGCTATCACTTAGTTTAGTTTTGGCTTAAAGAGAAAAGGAGAAAAAATTGTTTTGACAAGTCCCAGTTAATGTTTGTCATCCTTAGGGCCAACCAGATGGACTCAATGCAGCAAGAGTAGAAACAGCCAGGGGATTCTTTCTTTGACATTCAAAAAGACCAACTGTCAGCAGCTTTCTTAGCTAGCATGAAGGAATGTATTGTACAAATTAAGATATTTAAGTCATGCTTATTTTACAAGTACATAGAGTTTTGGGGATGATCAGTGAAAGAACACCTGTCAAATCCCTATCCAGCAAACAGCCTTCCTTCTGAATTCTGAAACGTTTTCATCAATGTCAAACCAGGACAACCCAATAAACAAAGAAAAAGGAAATTATTTTGCCACAACTTGTTTAAATGAGGTCCACTTTTACCTGCTATGTGAGAGAGAAGAGAAATAGAGAGAGTAAAGGGAGAAAGTGAGAGAGAGAGTAAAGGGAGAAAGTGAGAGAGAGAGTAAAGGGAGAAAGGGAGAGAGAGAGGAAAGGGGAGAGAGAGAGGAGGAAAGGGGGAGAGAAGAGAAAAGGGGAGAGAGAGAGGAGGAAAGGGGGAGAGAGAGAGAGAGAGAGAGAAGGAGGGGGAGAGAGAGAGAGATAGAAGGGGGAGAGAAAGAGAGAAGAGAGAGGAGAAGGGGGAGAGAAGAGAGAGAGAGATAGAGAAGAGAAATAGAGAGGAAGGGAGAAAGTGAGAGAGAGAGAAAGGAGAAAGGAGGGGGAGAAGAGAGAGGAGGAGAGAGGGAGAGAGAGAGAGAGAGAGGAGTAAAGGGGAGAGAGAGAGAGAGAGAGAGAGAAGAGAGAGGGGGAGAGAAGAGAGAGAGGGAGATAGAGAAGGAAGGGGGGAGAGAGAGAGAGAGAGAGAAGAGAGAGAGGGGAGAGAGAAGAGAGAGAGAGAGAAAGGGGAGAGAAGAGGAGAGAGAGAGGAAAGGGGAGAGAAGAGAGAGAGAGGAGAAAGGGGGAGAGAAGAGAGAGAGAGTGAGTAAAGGGGGAGAGAAGAGAGAGAGAGAGTGAGTAAAGGGGGAGAGAAGAGAGGAGAGAGTGAGAAAGGGGGGAGAGAGAGAGAGAGGAGTAAAGGGGAGAGAGAGAGGAGAGAAGGGGGAGAGAAGAGAGAGAGAGAGTGAGGGGGGAGAGAAGAGAGAGAGAGAGGAGAAGGGGGAGAGAGAAGAGAGAGAGAGAAGAGAGAGAGGGGGGGGAGAAGAGAGAGAGAGAGAGTGAGAGAAAGGGGAGAGAAGAGAGAGAGAGAGAGAGAGAGGGGGAGAAGAGAGAGAGAGAGAAAAGGGGAGAGAAGAGAGTGAGAAAAGAGAGAAGGAAATAAGGAATATACAATTAAAAAAAAAAAAAATGGTAGCAGTGGTACTCCTAAGCGTAGACCAGCCAATAAGAGCAGACAATGTTTCCCAAGACTTTGGCATTTATTGTTCCAGTCACACTGACTTGGGTGCAAATCCAATCATCTGGTAATTTTATTTGAGTTCTACTTTTTAACAGATTATTCCAACTATCTCAACACATAGGAAATCCAACTGACAGCAAGTAATAGAAACCTTCTGTGAAAATTACAAATACTAATTCACACATAAAAGTCAATATGACTAAGATGGTAACAAGTGCCTACTGTGTTATGAATTGACTGGTTCGACTCATTACGGGATTGTAGGGTTTCTCTTTCCCTTTTTATATCTATTGATATACAGCCATGAAAAAACTAAGTTATGTTAACAATAACAACAACAATAATAGTAAAAAAAAAAAAATTGGGAAAAAAAAAAAGGGTCGGTTTCATTGCTTCATAGCATCACATGACTGATTTGGTATGTTCAAAAACAAATGCTGAAAGACTGCTCCTAAATATAAGAATTAGCTGCCACAAGCAGTCATTTGCATCCTACAGAATATGCTGGTCTTGGTTTATTTTTTATTGTAAAAGACTTGGAACATAAGAGAGAATTCCAACAGCTTGTCTAACATCTTTTTTGACCTGAAGAAGATTTAGGTGCTGAAACATTGAACCAGTCCTGAAATAGATACTACAGCCTAGAACAACATGAAGCAAAACACACACACACACACAAATACTGACAGTTTGTAATTTTGGGAATGGGAGAGAGAGAAATGAAGTGCATATGTCTGCCTGTTAGAGAAGAATTTTGAGGAGATCAAATATTTCTTTAAGCAAGGAGTGATAAAATAAATAAATGAAAATAAAGTAGAAATCAGTAAAGGTGTTTGTGTTCTTGAAGTGATTATTGTTTCAAATACATTCTCTTATTAGCAATTATTTCAGACAAGAAAAAAAAAATAATCAGATTTATTAGAGAGGGAGGAAGGGAGAGAGATCATGACAATTCATCCTCAAAATCTTTTAATATCATTTATATGACAAAATGAAAAAAAAAAAAAAAATGACAGACCAATAAATAAAACAAAAACAAACAAGATAACTGTTATTGTGTATTATGGAATAAAAATGGAGTTTATTGAATAATTATTCAAAATGGTTATAATTAATATACACATGACAGGAATTAAGTTCTGAAAGTTTAGCAATAATAAATGTCTACCAAAATGACTTGCAGTTATAACATAATGCACAGTAGAAATGAGAATTGCATTCCAGGGTGAACAGCTGGATGAGAACATGTCAGGAAATTGGTGGGGGATCCAAGTTCAAAAAGGTTTAGCCACTTTCAACAGAATCGTTTCTTCCATCTATATTCCACCAAAATATACACTAACTTAGTTTGTTTCAGCCAGAGACCAATAATAATAATAATCATCATCATCATCATAATAATAATAAAACTTTGCTTTGTTGCCTTTAGCTTCTACATACATAATGCTGTAAGTCTATAAAAAGTATTGTTAGTTTCAATCTCAGCGTTGAATGAAAGTTAAAATAAATAAAACAGAAAAAGGGAAGTCATCATTTGAGATTGATTATGACTAGATATTTTACCAAATGTACAGCTGCCCACCCCATGGCATTGGGAAAAAAAAGAGGAAGGAAAGAAGAGTAGATTTGAGGGTGGACACCGGGTAAATGGCATCCAACCGGGGTGGAAAATTTGTTCGAAGCAGTAGAAAAACAGAGTTTATTTCTTTAGTTTTTTTTGTCTTTTCTTTTCTACCAATGGCTGTTTGATAACCCAGGAAAATGAATAGTTTTAAAAGATTAAATTCTATTGAATGTAGAGTTTTTATGCGAAACTAAATTGCAAAGAAGAGATTATAGAGAGCTCTGTAGCCAAGGATGATGAGATTTGAAATTTCTTTTTTTTGGAGGGGGAGGGGGGTCAACAGGAAATAACAGATGGGTCAACATGGACATTTAGACTCTAGGGTTACATCAAATCTAAGCATTGTTTCAATAATACACAAAGTACATCCACTAGGAATGAAAAGGATAATTCCTCAATTTTCACATTTATTGGCTCAAAGCTCAAACCCAACCATTTTTGGTTAACATTATTTTTTTTTTTTTTTCTTTTACAAAGAAATGAGCAGAGTGTATTAAATATCACATTTCCTGGCTTTTTACGGCTATTACTGCATTAAGAGAGAAGGGCTTTGTGTAGCAGTTTTCAAAATTTCACCAAAACGTGTTTATAAATAGAAGAGGGCAGACAGGTGGTTAGAGGTCTGAGAACCAATTGCTGGTAATTATTTGAGGTGGAGTGGTTTACTTGGTCCAAAAAAAAAAAAAAAAAAAAAATAAAGACGAGTTTATTGTATGTTGGCTGCAGGAGACAAAGACAGAAAAGGAAGAAAGAATAAGAGTAGGAGGGGCAAGAGAGAGATTTAGAGTGTGTGTGTGTGTGTGTGTGTGTGTGTGTGTGTGTGTGTGTGTGAGAGAGAGAGAGAGAGTGTGCAGGTGTGTATATAAATAAAACAAACTGGACAGTGGGGAGGTGGGCATGAGATAACCAAGTTGTAGCATTAGCAGCGCGCAGCATACACGACTGATGTGATTATGTGGAAGGAAGGAAAAACAGACAAGGAAGAAATAGGTTAACAACTGATGAACAAGATAGATATCTAGTTAGTAGTAGTAGTATCAGGATGGTCAATGGACAAGAAAGCCACATGGAACTGCAGACCTGCACACACCAAGCAGACTGATCGACATCATCATGGTAATAACAGTAAGTAAGAGTAGTAGTAGTAGTAGTAGTAGTAGTAGGAAGGGTATGTGGTGTGGTGGTCATAAAAGTATGTGACCTTTAACCCCAAGCTGTCCCACAAAAACTGACACTGCAGCCAGCAGGTTGGTTTGGCAGCTCAGAATTGCACTTTTAGTCCTCTATAGGCAGAAGATGGACCCTGGTCACTGATTTTTTTTTTTTTTTTTTTTTTTAATCACCATCAGGGGATGGAAGAAAGGAGGGGGGGGTTGAGTTGGCAGCATAAGGGTTTTGTTCAAAGGAAGTTTCTGGTTTTAAAGATTTCGTTAATTATATTGAAGACAGATATATTTTTTTCTTTAGCTTTTTTTTTTTTAAATTCATTTCTTTCGAGTGGAGGGCAGTTCTGAAATGGACTTATTGGAAATAGTATGTTACCTCAACACAAGTGTTCTTGAAATAAAACTTACAATTTCCGTCCTTTATTCTTGTTTTTCTTGAAATGTTTTATTTTTCATTTTCGCTTTAAAATCAACAGAATCACCATTTTGACATATGACACTGAACCATATTTGGCTATGACAGAGTGATAGGACACAAGAGAGAAGAAAACCCAAAAAGAAAGTATTTTACAGCTAACTTTGGAATTTGCAAATGATAACATTTAATGAATTTTATAATAATAGAAAAGGAAGAAGCGACTTCACATTTTTATAAGAAACATACAACTGTTTTCTTTTGGAAGTGAAGCTTCGTTTCTTCCTTCCTGTATATTAAGTTACAAATTGCGTGTCCCCCTAAAAAACTGAGCAAGGTTGGTTGGGAGTTAATAACTAAATGAACTCCTGCGTTCCCAAACTTCATGCCATCCTTTCTACCCTGGGTATGAATCAAGACCAGTCCCTAGAGGCTCTGCAAAAGGATCAAACAAATTTAACATTCACTCGGCATTCTTCCAATAGTAGCCATGGTAACAGACTTCAACAATAGGCAAGCTACTGTTGACCCAGCTTGGAGTCCCTTCTTAAAAAAAAAAAAAAATAAAAATAATTAAAAAAAAAAAAAAAGAAAAAAAAAAAGAGAGAGAGACCCTCCCCCATGTCTATAATCTGATGGCATTTGTTCTTTTAGCCCCAGATCTGCTCGAGGACGTGACGGCTGCCTCGACTGATTTGAACATTATCAGTGATGGTGTTGGTGGAGAAAGCTAAATCACACTTGCAGGTAATTTGTCAAACATGTCATTCTTCCCTGGTTGAACACTGCCTCGACGCCGTGGTAAAGTTGGATGTTCTGGACATCCGTTGGTGACCAAAAGGTCAACACATTCGGGAGAACCAGAACCCCTAGCATACCACAATGCATTTCGACCTTCATGATCCAACACTTTCACATTGGCATTGTACTAGAGAAGAGAACGAAAAAAAGAAACAAAATGATATAATTTGCAGACTATAAAAATTATGGCAATTATTTAAACAGAAAAAAAAAAATCTCCTCAAAGGTATAAACATTTTAAAATCGAAAATTTTTCAAATTAAGCAATAGTGAATTTTTTATTGAAATATTTTTCTCAGCATTAGGGCAAAATTTAAAAACAACTTTTCCTCTTTTTGCAGGTTAAAAGAAAATATTTTTAGGAAACAAACTCAAAAACTGAAGAAGAAAAGCAAGAAATGAATTGGCACAAAAAAAAACATTTTGAAAGACTTTTAGCAAACCTTGTTTTATTCAAATGTAAGAAAGAAAAAAAAAAGAAACATCTGTCACCATTTGTAGTATTGTGCAGTATGGATAAAAGACAACTTTAAGTCCTTTAAGGCTGAAGATGAAAAAAACTAAATTGAAAGAAATGTTAATAAAATCCTGTCAAAGGAGGGCTCATAGAAACTGATGAGAGGATATAACAAAACTTTTTTTCTCAGTTTAAAGAAGAACATTTAATCAGTAAGCCTCCTATTATATTTAAAGCTATGGCTAAGAGGCTTTGATTTATCACAGGAACATTACAACTGGTAAAAGGGCTTATTTTGAAGAGACAAAGTGGAAAATAGGCAATGATCTCAGATATGGACAGTAAAGTTGATGAAGTCTCTTCTAGTATAAAAATATGCAGCACACACTTACCCAAAGAAGAAGCTGGACAAAAACAACATTGCCTAAAGCAGCTGCTATATGGAGAGCTGTCCGACCGTCATCTTTGCTGTAAGGTGCGTTAATATCCTCCGGCCGTGCATGTCCAAGAAGTAAGATTATGTTCTTTATATCTTCTCTGACTAAGGCATCTATCAATTGCTGTTAAGAAAGAAAAAATATTTTCAGTAAACAAATTTAGTGTGGTGAGATTACAGTAGATTCAAAGTTTTAAACTGAAAGTGACTTTAGCTAAAACCAATGTACAAAGCATAGTGATATGTAATGAGTTATATAGTAAATGGTAGGTTTCTGAAAATGTTTTTCATTGGTTAGCTGAGTTACTCCAAGTAGCTTGGCAACCCAGAACCTAACATCTATTCATGATATGCATGCACCTGGGTAATGCAAATAAAGAAGTGGTCTTAAAAGCCAATGTTAATTTGGATGTTGATCATTTCTGGGTATGACCAACGGAAGACACAAAGTGATTCCAGTTAGAGAACTTGAAATTTGCCCACAACAGTGTGTTCAGAGAGCAAGGATGAGAGAAAATAAAAACAAACAACTTCAATCAAATAATTTCAAGTTCATTTCCAAGATAAAGAGTAGTAAATGTTTACAATAAAAATCAGTTGAAAGGGGTTAAAGTCAACTGACTTTTCATGCTTAACAGTAAAGCCAGAAATCTGGATGAGGTTAACTTAAGGCAAATACTCAGTGACAATGGAGTGGGGGTAACAATTTGAATGAGGGGGTGGCCCTTTTCAGGGCTGTTTTTTGTTCTCAATCTGATTTCAGCTTCATGGACAGCAGCAGTTGAAGAGGTGTTTCTCTTCAGCTGTTGACTCTTTTGATCAGCAGTTTCAGCCACATGTGCAGAAGTCTTCTAGAAAGCTCATGTCTACGTTGAAACTGTAGTAGTAGGCTTTATGCAATAGAAAATGTAACCTCACTTGACAGATTGAAAGCATGGCCAACAGAAGGGGAATGTGTTAAGCAGGGCTGGGTGTACAGAAGTAGAAGTGGAATTGCGAAATTAAGTGGTAGCCATGAGTTTAGGACTGTGTAGACAATCAGTATGACATGGCAACATTTGATTAGACATGTAAAGAGGCTTCATGCAGCCAATGGGCAACTCGAACAGGTCATGCATATATGTGGGCATCAGCACATGACACATCACATGTTGCAGGGCCACATGTACATGAGTTGCTGTACACACCAATTTTCAAGGTCAGCAGCACCCAATAGGCAATGTGTGGAGGTATGAATCACACCCACACAGCACGAGGTAGGATTGGAAGGTTAGGTGTGAAAAAATAAATTAAATTTTTCCATTGATTTTTGTGCAAAGTGTAAAAAATCAGTTTTCTTGATTTTTCACCTTCAAGGTTGTCATTTTTTCCAGCCAATTTGAACTTAAAACAGGCACTGAAGAATCAACTATCGAACCAAAAATATCTCATCTAAATTGGATGAAAACTGTGGGAACACATAACCAACATCCAATCAAACACACACAGACAGACATTTGGAGAATTATAGATATAGGTTTAACCATAGCTACTCACTCCACCTAAGGGGCTTCTATTTTGAGGTTCTTACCTGATTAAGGGGGATATCAACATAGGTTGGGGGAGGGAGAAATTCTTTGCATTCATATTTTGCCCGAATCCACTTTTCTCTGTCTTCCCTAAAAGAAAAAAAAGAAAAAAAAAAATCAGTCAGGCAACAAAAGGGCAGGAATGTTAGTTACTTTTGAATAAATTAAAAAATAAAAAATACAAAAATAAATAAATATTCAATATTATTCATTATTTATTTTTAAATTTTTTTTGTACGCTAATGAAATTTTGTGTTAATTTCTGATCCCGACACAAAGATAGACCAGGTATTCACTTTCCCAAATAACATTTCTAGTCGCTTTCCATGGGGCTTATATTAATCTTAGTTGCTTTCCATGGGGCTTATATTAATCTTAGTTGCTTTCCATGGGGCTTATATTAATCTTAGTCGCTTAGCTACTGGATTATATTGAAAGATTGCACATATGTGGCTAAGTGGTTAAAACATTTGCTTTCTGGCCATGAGACCCAAGTTTGAATCTCTCCAGAGTTGATTTTGTCAACTTGTGGATGGAGAAGGCAATCCCAGTGTGTGGTACATTCGGAAAGTGCCTGAAAATCACACCATAGTTTGACCCAAGCCTTGTTAATGGAATTGGGTAGACGGAACCTTTTGGGAGCTGTTGATAGTTGTGCTAGCACGTAGTCACAAGACATGGTGACTGAGAGTTTGAACGTGCTGGTCTTGTTCAGATTGTTGATTATGCTAAATAACATGCTCCCTCCCAGAAACTGTAACTAAGGTCTGCTCAGCATAGTTGCAGTATAAACCACAGGTGTACTCTGTGGATGCTGAAAAAACACAAATGTGCCTGAGCAAGCGTCTGCAACAGGGATTAGATAGCTGCCATAGTAGATTGGCATCCTTGGAGATGAGTGGTTGCAAAGTATCACCCAAATGGAAAATAAAATTTATGTTAGAGTAAAATTTAAAAGAATGAAATGACACAACTGCATCTCTGTCTCCGAGTCATTTCCAACATATCTATGCCAGTGACCATCCCCCACCCTTCAGATGTCACGATTGTGCATAAATAGAACAAATTCTAATAAGGCACCAAATAATGCATAAAAATTTGGAATTCAAAATAACTTTAGATTCCATTCCAGGTTTCAAATTCTTGATCCTAAAGAATGCTTTCTCTTTCTGGTTGTCTCAGGTGATCTAAATGTCTCCATAAATTAATCAATAACCTTAGGTATTTATTTGATTTCTTCTTTAGCCTAGTAACTGATCACAGCCTATTAATAAGGCAACATGAATCTAAACAAAAGCTCTAAGGATTTCTGATATCGCATGAAATTGTTTCAGAAAGGAACAGCAACACACTTACCTAGAAGCATTTGCACCAGGTTTGAGTCGGCCTTTTGTGTTAGCCTCCCAAACAGAATTTACTATACTATTGCCAATAGACGTCATAACAAGAATGTATTCAACTCTGAAATATTAAAAAGTGACAAATGTTTTGCTTTAAAAGTCACTTCATGACATTACACAGAAGTTTTATTTTTTTTAGATAGCAATTACAATCAAAAGAAACTCTGGTAGCAATTACAAGCAGAAAGGAACTCTGGTAGCAATTACAAGCAGAAAGGAACTCTCGTAGCAATTACAAGCAGAAAGGAACTCTCGTAGCAATTACAAGCAGAAAGGAACTCTCGTAGCAATTACAAGCAGAAAGGAACTCTCGTAGCAATTACAAGCAGAAAGGAACACTCATATAAAAAATTCACATTAGAGATAAATGCAGACAGGTATTATGAGATATGGAGACTGTCTGAATCTATGAGAAATTCCTGTGAATATTTGGACAAAGGCAAACACAAGTACTTACGGCCATTCATCCAAATCTAAAGATCGTACTCGAGATAGGTGGGTTCCAAGGTTCCTATGAATTCCTGAGCATTCAATACATATAAGAGCACCAAGATTTATACTGGCCCAGTCAGGATCTGAAGATTGAGAGAAAATGAAAGCAAAATAATTGACTGTACTTTTAAAAAAAGGATGTTTTAGAATTTTATTAGTTTATATTATTTTATTAGTTTTTATTAGTGTTTGATGTAGCCCAATCCACCTTTAAAGATATTGCACAACGATAAAAAGATGGCATTGTTCTTTTTTTATCTCCATCAATATACAGCATGCAAAATAAACTGTTGCAATTAGGCAAACTTTACTGTGGATTCGTGTAAAAAGAATCAGATTAGCTATTTACATCAATTGGGTTATGAAAACAAATTTCTTTAAAAAGTTTATTTTGGAATTGTGGTTAACAAGAAAACAACCATGGAAATTGCTTTTTGAAAAAAGAGCTTCTAATAAAAAGAAGTTGAGATAACTTAGAGAATGTAAAGGTCTTGAAAGTGAAAAGTTCTTGACATTGGTTTTTTTGTTGTGCCTGACAAAAAAAGAAAAGAAAAAAAAGAAAAAAAGAAGAAAAAAAGAAGAAAAAAAAAGAAAGAAATCAAAAGGTCAGTTATTCCCTTGACATTGCTATTACTGTATGCACTTTTGACTCCCGCAGCAATGCTTATTGTTTTTAAAAAGTGATGATTAGAATTTTAATAAAACCCAAACAGGAAAATGGATTTATACATTTTCTTTATTTTTGAGAGTTGACAACAAAAATGTTAAACACTATTTATTAGAATGACAAAAAAAAAAAAAAAACTTTTTTCATAGTTATATATAAAATGGTAAATAATAAATATGGCATTGTATTTGGATTATATATTTTGATAATGCTGTAATTTTCTTTCATAAATTTTTGAATAAAATATTTCTTTTCAAATGTAGTTTTTTTATAAAATTGTAAATAATAAATATGGCATTGTACTTGGTTTACATATTTTTGGAAACTTGGAAATAAACATTGCCGAGGCAGTCAAAAGTGTATACAGTAATAGTAGTGTCAAAGGAATAACTGTCCTTTTGACAGTTTTTTCCTAGCACAAATGTTAAATAGTTCTGTGTATTTTTTTTCTTCAAAAACACAGATAGAACAGTGTACTGACTAAAATGATAGATTTGATTAGAGCCTAATTGCTATCAACTGCACTTTTATACTTGAAGCAAGCTTTGAGTAATTTTTACTTTCCAAGGATTTAATTTGGTTTCTGATGTTAATATTTACACCTTGTCCTTTTCAAAGTGGATTTCTCCTCCTCAGTTGAAAAGAGAGAAAGTTGCAAATCTACACTGCCTTATATATATAAGAAGTTTATACCAACGGCTTTCCTTACTTCATTCTACAATTCACTCTCGTGTAGTCATGTGTTGACGTCATGAGATGCTGTGCGATTTTCGCTTCTAGCGTCTTATATGCGCGTGTTTATCGTTGCTTAGTGATTAACTATGTAAACAATGACAGACTATCATCACTGTCATGTCTGTATATTGTTTAATATGTTTGTGATTTACATCTTTGATAATGGCTTAAGTAAACCGAAAGCTTAGATTATATTAAAAAAATATGGATCAATATTGTGAATTTCTTTCTTCGTTTAATGATAATGTTATCAAACTTATCAGATGTTACGAACAAATTTTACATAAAATAAATAGACAACACTTGTCTATATTATTTAATGAAACGTGTATATATATATATATATATATATATATATATATATATATAAAAAAGAACAAATAGGAGAACTAAATTAGTCTCAATGTTTCTATTGAGTCACTTTCTTAATCTATCCTCTTTTTGGATCTTTCAAAGTTCATAAAATCTAAACACATCTAAAATTTGCTTCATCTTCAACAGATTTATCTACAGCCCACCAACAAAAGATTAAGAAGGAATCTGTCATCGCTACTGAAAAGAGCGATAATATCTACCAGACTTGTAAAACCTATTTTCCTGAAAAATTGTTCTAATAGAAAGATGCTACAAATTTCAACTGAAAGTTGCACTGGCTGCTTGGTCAATGAATGGTGAATGTTTCCTTATAAAGAAATGACTAATATTGTGAAAATGAATTCTAATTGGCTTTAAGCATTGTGCACAAACTGAGCTTTATTTAAAGTTACTCCCCAATTATTTGTAAGGCATTTTTGAATTAATGGGATAAACATGTTTGGTTTTTATTAGGACTGATGAAAAATTTATTTTGTGGAAGAGTAATAGACTTACTGGTTGCCCCACAATCTGTACAGCAGTTGTTCCCTCGCACGTTGCGGATAGCCTGAATACTGGCTGGGTCAGTTGCACTTGTATTCTAAGAAGAAGAAAAAAAGAAAAAAGGAAGCATATAATCAGATCACATTCATTCTGAATATAAATTAAAAAATTCTAAAACATTTTTTTCTATTTGATTTTGTTTGTTTATTTTTGTTGTTTTATCAGAAAAAGAAGGTCGAATGGAAAGCAGGAAATAATTTACGTTAATTAAACATTAATGTAGTTATATATCGACACAGCTTCTTTCATGACCTGAACTGATAAAGGAAGTGTAGTTATTTTTATCAATGAAATAATTAAAAAATCACTTTGAGCAAATGAAGCTGGTAGGCTTTAGTGAGGCCCATCCTAAACTTGCAGACTAGCACTACAGAATTACAAACAAAGAACTGTACCAAATAATAGAAACCACATCACTTGAGGACTACCAACAGCAGCAACAACTAAAATCGATAGCACATGTAACTAAAAAAAAAAAAAAAAAAAAAAAAAATGATATAATCAAGATACTGATGTTCCACACTATTTCCAACAAAAGGTTAGGAAGGAAACTGCCATCAATACTGGAAAGAGCAATAATAGCTACCAGACTTATTTTCCTGAAAAATTGTTCTAATAGAAAGATGTCATAAATTTCAACTGAAAGTAGCACTGGCTGTTTGTTCAATGAATGCTGAAGGTTTCCTTACAAGGAAACAGCTAATATTAACATAAGAGATGTTGAGAACAGATACTATGCTTTGATCCCATCCTGATGGCCAGAGAGTGAAGAAAAGTATAACTCAAGTAACACTGGCTTCTTGGTCAATAAATGCTGAATGTTTCCTTATAATGAAATGGCTAATATTACCATAGCCATTAGAGATAAGGAGAACTGATACTACATTTTGATTCCAACCTATGTCCAGACAATGAAGGAAAGCATAACTCAAGTAGCACTGCCTGCTCGGTCAATGAAGGCTGAAGGTTTCCTTATAAGGAAATGGCTAATATTACCATATGAGGAGTACAGATACATTTTGATCTCAATTCAATGACCAAAGAGTGAAAAAAAAAAAAAAAATAAAAAATAAAAGTCACCTGAGTAGCACTGGTTGCTTGGTCAATAAATGCAGAATGTTTCCTTATATGGAAATGGCTAATATTATCATAACCATAAGAGATGAGAACTACACTTTGATCCCAGCCTGATGGCTGGGGAATGAAAAAAGCATAACTCGAGTAGCACTGAATGCTGAATATTTCCACATAAAGAAACGGCTAATATTACCAAACCACAATATGTGTTTACTTAGTAATTGAGTGTGCACAAAAAGAAAAATAAACCAAACAAAAAGCAGCAACGTATATGCATGCTTTACTTTCTCTTACCTTGGCCTTACTACTTTCATTGGCTTGAAGGCTGGACAGAATTTGTTGTTCTATGGCACTCACCCACTCATCTCGTTCCTAAAAGATGAGCAGAGAAAGAATGAAAAAAGAAAACATTTAGTTAAATAGCAAGAGTCACCAAGAGTGTTGACTTTTCATTACCTGTTTTTCTTACACTTGATCAAAATGCTATTTCATAACAAGAAAGAAGGAAGCTGTTAGTTGAAAAAGAAATGGTCTAAAATTCACTAGGATTTTAGAAGCTCATTCCTTACCTCAACACTCTGTGCTTCAAAATGCCACTGTTTGCTATCAAGGGAGACAATTATAAATTCATATCCGTCAGAATCTGAAAGAAAGAAAGAAAAAAAAAAAAAAAAAAAAATTAAACCAAATTCTTATTTAATTTATATCCCCATCAGTGTCACATTTGTTTAGCTGGGTGGTACGTAGGAACCATGTTTTGAATGAATGGATCAAAAAAAGAAAAAAGACAAAAAAGAAAAAAGACAAAAAGAAAGAAAGAAAAAAGCCACAACTATAAAAGCTATTTATTTAGAAAAAAAAAAAAAAATCTTTTTTCTTTTATCAAAGCAAACCAATCACAATATTGAGAGAGAATAATGAATAAAAAAATTCTTTTTAATAAAGAAAAACCGCAAAAGCAGATGAATGCCTGGCCCATGTTTTATGCTCTATTCAAATATAGTAAAGACAACAACTCATACAATGAACAGTCAAGTGTCAAATGAGATCAATATAGGCACATTAATACCTATATGAATCATATACCTTGTGACACAATATTTGCAAACAGTGGATCAATAACAAACAATTTACAAACCTGGGAACTAGACAGTGTGTTGTATTCCTGCTTGCATCTTGAAGACATAATCTGAGTTAAACATCTTGTTAATCTCTTTGCAAAAGAGATCTTCAGATGTTTCATAAACGAACGAGCAGCCTAGCCTAAAATATGATGATAGGGTTGAAGCTAATTAGGACTAAATTCTAATTTAAAGAGCCTTCGATATGACAGATAATCTGAAAAACTTTATAATTTGATTGGTAATTCTATTTATTTCTTTTTATTAAACGAACTCATGAGGCACAATTAGAAAGAAGACATTTTTTTCACTAAATTTTAAAGAATGGATGTGTTTATTGAAGGTTTAGATTACATCAGTGAATAGTTATGAATATTTCTAGAAACATACATTTTATGAATAAAGGTTTTGTTTTAGGGAAATAAATTCAATTCAGAAACAGAACATTGAGATGAGTAGAAGTTGTGTGCATGGGGGATATTTAAAAATTTCTTCTGACAAATTTTTGATTAAGCAGTGTTAGAAAGCATAGAAGCAAATTGCAGCAACTTGATTCTTTCAGAGTATGGGCATTCAAGAGAATAAAAAATGGAGCAAGCCTATACAAAGCTGAAAGTCCAGCTTGAGGTATGGTTATTAAAATTTTTTTTTTTTTTTTTTGCAAGGTTTGTTTCCATATTTGATTCATTCAAGGACGTACATACATTGAAACAAACATGTTGATAGAGAAATTAAAATCTGGCAGCCTTTGGATGCATTTCAGCAAAACAGTAGCAGAGTTAAAAATTGGAAGGAGTAAAAAAAAATGTCGTAAGGAAATAGTTATCAAAAATGGAGAATGTGGTAAAAGTGTTTGTTTTCAGATTGGGGGGGGGTGACGAAACAAAATCTATGGTGGAGGCAAATATGTATTCTATTTTTTTTTTTCTTTTGGAAGGTGAGTGATTAGTTGATGAAATGGTTGATTAGTTTTTGACTAATTTTTATACATGCAGTACAGTTTTAGTTTTTTTTTTTTAATTGAATCGAGTTAAGCGTTTAGGTTATTGAGAGGAAAATCCTTCTTTTGTTTTATAAGAAAGCAACATGAGTGGTTGTGAAAAATAATTTTCAAAAAAAGCAGAATTCCACATACCATCTAATTGACTAGGATCAATATTTTTAAGGCCTCCACTTTTTGCTCGTCTGTGCCTCTTCTTTACATTTGGGGTCTCTATTTTTGACCCTATGTTTTTATTATCACCTGATTTTGAAAAGAAAGAATCCATTGAGTATCCATTGAGGAGAGCTGAAAAAGAGACAGAAAAAAAATCATTAGCTCAGTTACGGTAGAGAGAGAATGTCAAGTCACTTCAGTTGGCATTGCATTTTCATACACTATATAAAGAGATGCTGAAAAGTTCTCAGACCATCAACAAGAAGAAAAAAAGGGCCTTAACAAAGAAAGAACTGAGGTTTAGACAAAGTTTGTGATATGGGTCAGGCCAAGAACTTTTCAGTAATTGTTCTACCCCGCCATTAATGCCAGAAGAAAAATTGAACCATTTAGGCATAAATTAAAAAAAAAAAAAAAAAAAAAAAAGATTTGTCGAAAACTTATACAGTATTTTATAATTTAGACTTTTTAAAATATTAAGTACTTTTTCTCATCTTGATTGTTATACTAACAAGGTTTCAGCCATTGTATCCTCAGGCCTTTTTATTAAAACATAAGGCAATGTGTCTAAGAGAAACACAGCATAATGGATGAAAGCATTGGTTAAAATATATATGGTTTCCTGGCAGTTGTGAGTTCAATCCTTGAGTCAAATAGTGCTGAAGTCACAAACTTTAGTCAAGTCAAAGACAGTGACAAGTGGCACAAAATGTGAATAAGACTGGCTGAGTATTAACTGGTATGAGTTATTTCCCCTAGGCATAAAAGACAGAATAAAAAAACTGCCACTGAGGATTGAATAATGGGTTCAGTTCAAGAGTTCAAGGTTACTAAGTACAACAGACACCTGAAGAAGGCTGAAGAGTATAACAACCAAGATAAAGCAGTTGGTGTTAAGAAAAAGTCACATAATAATGATAATTTTTCATTGGCCAACTTCTGACAGAAGTCTTCTGATCTTTATGTGAAGTTATCTGGTTCAGTTGGACAAGACTGTACGATGTTGAAAGACCACAAAGAACCTATTATTAACATCACTGTCAATACACCTGGGTGCATTGACAGTGTTGTATATTAAGATTCTTGACTATCTGAAGGGAATTGCAGCCATTTTATTAATTTGTATAAAATATGTCATCAGAAAATTTTTTTTCATGTGTTAAGCAAACAGAATTTTATGGTAGAAAAATATAAATCCTCTCTAAAAAAAACCTAAAAACGCTGTTTAAAGTTTTTAAGTCAAGGCATGACAATGACTTGATTCAATCACTGAAATTGGGTTCTGCTAAAAATAGAACATTTGATTACAAATTTTATAGAAAGGATTTTTGTTTTTTACTCTGCAAATAATAGGTAAACATATTTTTTCATATACCATATATTTCCATGTATAAGGTGACCTTCAGATAAGACAAGTTAAAAAAAAAATCTAGAAAATTTTCATGAATTTATTCTATACCTGTGGTATAAGAAGATTGCTTATTGATTATATAAGGATGATGTTATTGGAAATGTTGTTACTTACTGTATCTTTAGAAATTCAAAATAAATGAAATAACAAAACTGATTCTATATCATGTTTTTCTTACCCACGTCCTTTAAAAGGGAAACCATTGTTTTGTTTACATTTCATCATGTGATCTCTTGCAAATACTGATTCTTCTTCTTCTATATCTAAACAATTACAAACAGCCTGGTGTACTAATGGCCATTTACTTATACTGCATCGACAATCATAAAATATCGCTAATAATAGTACATTCCATTGCTGTGAATGCAATCATAACTCAATGTTTACATTTTCTCAGCTGAGCTTGCATGGATACGAGTTGATTTCATTCATATGGAATTATTCTTCGAACAGGCAATTTATTATGAAGTTATGCCAGTAATATATAAGGTAGAAATGGTTTTATTAATTTTATTATCAATTTATTTGATAATGGGAATCTTTTCGTGTACGTCATTGGTTATTGCACTGAGGCCGAGGTTAGCCTACTGAGAAAGATCAATAAGAGTTTCTTTTCTTTTTTTTTTTAAGAATTGTAGAATAAGATTACCCCCAATTTTTCAAGGTGATTTTGTGGATATAAAAATCGTCTTATATGTGGAAATATACGGTAGTAATTATGAAAGATTTGCCTAAGGTCTACAGTCTGGAAGTAATGTCATTATGACATGACTCACAAAAAGTAAAGGTTAAGTTTGGTTTTACAATTAAAAAAAAATCTATTTGGGAAACAGAAATACATCAGTTCATATTAATTCATAAATCCCTTCTCAAAAAAAAGAAATGTTTCTACTGAATTAGATTACAAAGGTTAACAGTTATACTAGTCAACGACAGACATTGAATAATTGTTAAAGTTTTCTTAATCTTTATTGCAATTGCAAAATTGTGGTTCATCAATCTTTTAGAAATGGGTTTTGGCAAAGAGAATTTTCTTTGAAAGCCCAGATTACACTTAGCAAATAAAATGCTATAGTGTCTTATCTTCAATTTTTAACAAGTGTCTTTGCTTAACAAAAAAAAAAAAAAAAAATTATAGGCTGAGTACAGAAATGTTAATGATTGCTCTGGACTTAGTATTACCAATTTGCTATATCAATAAAGATGTGATTTCATGTACCTATGCAATTAAAAACAGTTAAGACTAAAAGCCATGAATCAAAATGAATATCATTGTAGTGAAAGAGAAAGCAAAATAACACATAGAATACAACACATTCTTCATTTAAAATCACTTCAAAAATCATATCTGACAGACAGACACACAGGAGACACACACAAATACATTGAAGTTTAGTATTTACTTAAACAAGACGCGAAGTATCAAGAGTTGAGGACAGAATTCATTTTCTTCAATGAAGAACTCATGATAATAATTCCATTTTAAACTCTTCCTGAATTTTCTAAAATCTTCATAAGACCGTCATTGAATAAAGTCAAGAGTTTCAAGTTGTATTTTTGTTCTAGGATGGATTAAGCTTGTCCTACCTTCCATTAGTCAAATAACAAGCAGGGATCATGGAGATCACAAATAACGATCAGCCATAGAAGTATCACAATTTAAAAACTTGAGTCTTGAAACGATGCCAGTTTGGAGGCATCAGGGGGTGGAGAATTCAATCATTTACTGAGTATATATAAATGTTCTACACTTTGAGAATCATCCAAATATATTTGGGAATTTCAAAAGAAACGTATTTGAGTGATTAATAATAATAATAAAAAAAAAAAAAAAAAAAAAAACTGCTGCATATCAATAATGGTATGTCAAAGTTGTAATTTTTGTTTTTTAATATTAAAATAAAGTAACTAATTCCAGTCAGTGCTACTTCTGAAGTTGCTCATCAAACCATATCATCTTCCTGAGAAACATAATTATCTCCCCATATAAGTTATCTGCAAAGATTTATGCAGCTTGAAAATGAGATAGTATTTGTTTTTCAACCTTAACTTTATTGGGTAGCAGATTTCCTGCTTTATTCCACAAGCCAAACTTTTAGGTAATTTTATAACCTCATTCTCCCAAAATATATTTCTCAGTAAAAAAAAAAAAAAATTGATCTGTCATTTGCAAAGTGTGAAGCAAATTAAAAAAAATTATTAGATAGAATTCTGTAGAGATTGGAATAACAGTGCAATATCTGGCAAATATAATAAATGAAAGGAAATTTCCAAGCCTAGCTGCATGATTTTATTTGTTGACCATTCATCAAACATAGTCCAGTGTTATCCTGAGGGAACAAGAGATGGCCTTTCTCTGAATGAAATGCAGAAACTTTTTTATTGACTGCTGCCATCAATTGTCGAAACTGGGTGTGCTTTGAATTAAATGCTTGGTGTTCTCTGAAAGGAGCTAAGAGTTGAAAACTCCTTTTGAGTGTATATATATATATATATATATATATATATATATATATATTTCCATCACCTTTTTGGATGAAGACCAACATTTGGTATGATTGCATTTGACCTAATCTCTCTTTTAAAATTTCATCTCCAATCATAAACCATTTCCAAAATGGAACATTTTCACTAACAATGTTTAACTATCAAATTGTGCATGTAAATACAGTTCAATAATTTTTTTTTGTTTTAGCTTAATTGATACAGAAATCATACTTCAGAATCACTAATAAAATCAAATTGGTGCAAAAGATTTTCCATACTTGATTTAATATGGTCTTAATCATTAGCCCTCCTTTGCATTGCATAACATTGATTATTCTTAGATTTTGTTTCAACAGCTATCAGCTAACTTCAACTGGTCTCTATCCAATTATGGAGCATTATTCAGTGGGAAATCTCCAGCAGGAAACTCTGCAAACCACTTCTGACATGTTTAATTTTTGATAGTGCCTTTTCTATAAGCTGCACAAATATTTTTTTTTCTGTTTTACTTAAAATCAAAAAGTATAATATACTGAAAATGTTGTCTTATTTGCTTCCATCTCCATAATCGACAAAAATATGCTAATTTTAACAGCTTATCATGGTGACTGTCAACCCACAATCAGTATGTCATGTAGGGCCATATTTCCATTTAAAGAAAAAATATTTTGTAAAAGAATGTTAGGAATCAAAATTTTTTTAGCACAAATCTTTTTGAGAAAATTGTTGTGAAAGTTTTTTTTTTTTCTTGCATAATATTGTGGAGGGTGGGAGATTTTTTTCCAACTGAGATTATATATATATATATATATATATATATATATATATATATATATATATATATATATGTATGTATGTTATATTCTAAGAATTACATGCTTCATGGCAAAGAAAGAAGGATTATTACATGCTATAAATGTGATCTACATTTATTTTAGAATTATGTCTACAACACCATATATTGGTGGCAAAATTAATTCTGCAAATATTAATATTGTAGTTGAATTAATAAATTTTTTCCTGTGAGTTTTTTTTTAATATATATAATTACCATCCATTTATAAAGCCTTCAAGTAAAAGTTAAAAGCAGAGGGCCAGATGCATTTTCCAAAAAATTACAAAGGAAGCCATAAACATTGCTATATATATATATATATATATATATATATATATATATATCAAGTATCTCCAAAATTTGGCAAACAAACTATATAACCATTAACAGTATTTGGAGATACGGCATAAAATGAAATGACATGTTAAAAATACAGGACGATTATACCAGCTGTCTAATAGAATCCAATACAATCTTTTGAATGAGAATAATATCTTAATACAGAGGCCATCCAATTACAAAAACCAAAAGAACTTTATTGGCAGCAAAAGAAATTGTAGCTGCATTACAATTTTTGTAGCATTTATGAGTCAGGATATTACAAAGACAGAAACAAAACTTTTTTTTTTTTCAAAGTTGTCTAAACAAAGTTATAAAAACATTTCTTTTTCTATGTATTGTGTTCCTTTAGAATGTTAGTGATCATGGCTCCCTACAATTTGGATAAATTCTTTGGTGACTAAATGTTTTATTTTTTTTTTTTTCTAAAATCAAATTTCACAAATGAAGATCCATTTATTAAACAATTCTGGTTTTTTATGCAATAAAAAGCAAAGTTTTGACATTTCCCTATCTCTCTTGGTTACAAATTACAGACATAAAACTGTTTTGTTCCCTGAGATGTTACGCCCATTTACACAGATATTGCATGTCATGTTTTACCAATCTTTTCTGTTTTTTCCAAGTAGCTTTTATGACAAATAGAAATTAATATTTAGTCACAACTTTTGTTTTCTTAAAAGAGCAGACAACTAGCATTACAAGTAGATATGCTCTGTTAGCATAATTCTTAAATTGCATTATTTTTAGACCCCCCAAAAAAAAAAAAAAAAAACACAATATTTATATATTCATCAAGAATAATGACCCATCATCAATTCAGGTGGTGACTAAGTTTAATGAAATACTTTGGGTAGTGACATTCTGTACGCAAATCAAACTTCTGAGGATGGGTTGCATATATTATAAAGTTTTAACAGAAAATTCAATATAACAATATGTGATGTCACATATAGTTGATTTGACTAATATTATTATTATTTATGTTGGTGATGATTGTGACGATGATGTGCTCTTGATATTTCCCAACTTGTGCTCTGGGGTTAACATTGCATAAACAATTCAATAACGAGAAAAATTATAAATCATTGTTTCAGAAGAATGAGATCTTATGAGACTTTGGCCACTGTTGAATATTATGTATGCAGCTAAGCTAGAGCAAAGCAGATGAAAGCAATTTTTGTACAAATGACATGAGCAGCAAATTCTTTCCAGGGTTTGGAGGGGCAGCTGGGCGGAACATTGTTTTATATATATATATATATATATAAACAATTACATGCCATGCAGAACAGGAGCTTTGGCTGATAGCAACAGGGACAGGAGGAAGTTAATCAGCTAGTGGCAGTAGCAAATAAAAGACAATTGAAAGGAATAATATTTGAGGTAACATCAAAGAAGTGAGGGATGGCTGGGTGAGGAGATGATTCATGCAATGCTAATGAGTGACAGTAGATTTAATCAAGAGAAAAATATCTATGGCATAGAAATCCTAATACATTCATACAGACGGTGGCCCATGACAATGAACGCACAGTTAAATGTCTTCAGAGACAGTCATTATGGCACACAATTCTTCAAGATATTTTTATGCTCTTTTAAGTCTTTTTCTTTTTTTTTAAGTAATATTTAAATTTGACAATGGCTTTGAACAAACACTTTGAATAAAAGAGCTGAATATTATTTATTATTATAATTTTTCAATTAATTTTTATCATGTAATTTACACACATGAGAGTATGCTGAAAAGTTCTCAACCAAACCTACTTCTCAAAATCGTACCAGATATTAATTTTTATGGGTGTAAGTTTTATTCTTGGTCAGCTGACAATTTTTAGCACTCCCCATATATAAAGTGGACATTGAAGTTAACATCTAGAGGCAACTGTTTCATACTAAATGGAATTGTCAGACGATGTGCTGACAATTACATTGAAACAGATTGTTGCCTTTGGGTTTTGACTTCAATGTCTCCACACACACACACACAAATGTCAGTGTGTCCCTGTGTCACACATTTTCAAGTTTACTCCTAGAGGCTGTAGCCCAATATATAATGCCATTTTGAAATCAGACCAACTCCATGAGCAAATTAAAAACATTCCTGGCTAGATTCAGACCCAACAATCTTGAAATTTGGGATTCCCAAGTTTTCATTACTGCAATTGTTTTTGGCAATTTTTTTTTTACATGATTTTTATGATAAATTTTTTTGTATGATAACTATTTCTATAACCTGGAAATAAATTTGGGAATAATCAAAATTAATTGTGAAATCCAGCAAAAGTCACCCATGAAATAAAAATAATTGTTTGTAAGGAAAAAATAAAATAATTGTTTGTATGCATCAAATTGTCTTTAAATTAACTGGCGACAGAAGAATTATTTTTGAACTGTTAAAAGGTAATCTTAAATATTAATGCAATACTTAAATGTAGTGATGTATTTTGAGTTCTTCTGTAGTTTATTGTTGCCTATCACATCTACTACTCCTTACCAATTGTGACAAAAGCCCAATCAAGAGCCTTCCGCAGAAGCTAGCTTAAATGCTGCTCGATAGGGTAGCTTTTAAGCTAGTGTATATACACACACACACACACATATATATATATATATATATATATATATATATATATATATATATATATAGTATAAAAAGATTTTTACTTTTGTTTATTATTATATATGTTTTTCCAATATTGGTTTTGTACTGGCATGAAATGTATTTGCATTATTTATTCATTCTTTGAATATTGGAAGAAAGAAAACTGTTTAGCAGCAAAATTATTGAATTGGAGAGAAATTTAGATTTTAGAAATTTTTAGAAAGATTGTTAAAAAAGCATCATAAGAAAAAAGTCAAAATTTTGCTACTTTGATTGTGGATCCAACTTTAAAATCTAACATGGAATGAAAAACAATAATTTCCAAATACTAAAATATATAATTTATGCCATAAAACCCTCGTTATTGTTTGTTTATAAACATCAAAGACCTGTTTAAAATCTAGTTTAGAACCAACTTTCCTAAAATAAAAATTTGTTTTAATGACTTTGCAATTTGAAGATTAGATCTATTTTTAAAATTTAGATTTACAAAAAGGCAAGCATTTTAATAGAACAGACAAAACTTAAAGAGTATAAAAATGTTAATTGAAAAATGTGATATTTTATTCAAGAATATTGAGTTCTTTAAGCATGGATAGATTGCAAGAATTGTCGGAAGAGAGATTAAAGGCAAAAACTATTTTTAGACTCAAAAGAGAAAAGATATCTTGGGTGATTGCATTAAAAATTGAGAAAAAACTTTATGAGAGGAAAATGGGAGCAAATTGAATTAAGATATAATGCTAATTGTAGAAATATTCAGAAGAAAAACCCATAGAAGTTTTAATTGATGAAAACTTCATTAGGAGAGAGAGAATAGATAGAAGGGGGGAGAGAGAGGGAGTGTCAAGGAGAGAGAGAAAAGAGAGAGGTCAAGGAGAGAGAGAGAGAGAAAGAAAAACACTGAGAGAGAGAGAAAGAAAAACACTGAGAGAGAGAGAAAGAAAAACACTGAGAGAGAGAGAAAGAAAAACACTGAGAGAGAGAAAGAGAAAAAACAGTGAGAAAGAGAAAAAACAGTGAGAAAGAGAGAGAGAGAAGAAAAAAAAAAACAGTGAGAGAGAGAGAAAAAAACAGTGAGAGAGAGAGAAAAAAAAAACAGTGAGAGAGAGGAGAAAAACAGTGAGAGAGAGGAGAAAAACAGAGAGAGAAAAAAACAGAAGAGAGAAAAAACAGAAGAGAGAAAAAACAGAAGAGAGAAAAAACAGAAGAGAGAAAAAACAGAAGAGAGAAAAAACAGAAGAGAGAAAAAACAGAAGAGAGAAAAAACAGTGAGAGAGAGAAAAAAAAGTGAGAGAGAAAAAAAACAGTGAGAGAGAGAAAGAAAAAACAGTGAGAGAGAAAAAAAAAAACAGTGAGAGAGAGAGAAAAAACAGTGAGAGAGAGAGAAAAAAAGAGAGAGAGAGAGAGAAAAACAGTGAGAGAGAGAAAACAGTGAGAGAGAAAAAACAGTGAGAGAGAGAAAACAGTGAGAGAGAGAAAGAAAGAAAAAAACAGTGAGAGAGAGAAAAAAAAAACAGTGAGAGAGAGAGAAAAAACACAGTGAGAGAGAGAGAGAAAAAAACAGTGAGAGAGAGAGAGAAAAACAGTGAGAGAGAGAAAAAAACAGTGAGAGAGAGAAAAAAAAACAGTGAGAGAGAGAAAAAACAGTGAGAGAGAAAAAAACAGTGAGAGAGAGAGAAAAAAACAGTGAGAGAGAGAGAAAAAAACAGTGAGAGAGAGAGAGAGAAAAAAAAAGTGAGAGAGAGAGAGAAAAAACAGTGAGAGAGAGAGAAAAACAGTGAGAGAGAGAGAAGAAAAAAAACAGAGAGAGAGAGAAAAAAACAGTGAGAGAGAGAGAGAAAAAAAAGTGAGAGAGAGAAAAAAGAGAGAGAGAAAAAAAACAGTGAGAGAGAGAGAAAAAAACAGTGAGAGAGAGAGAAAAAACAGTGAGAGAGAGAAAAAAACAGTGAGAGAGAGAAAAAAAAACAGAGAGAGAGAAAAAAAAACAGTGAGAGAGAGAGAGAAAAAAACAGAGAGAGAGAGAAAAAAACAGTGAGAGAGAGAGAGAAAAAAACAGTGAGAGAGAGAGAGAGAAAAAACAGTGAGAGAGAGAAAAAACAGTGAGAGAGAGAAAAACAGTGAGAGAGAGAGAAAAACAGTGAGAGAGAAGAAAAAAACAGTGAGAGAGAGAGAAAAAACAGTGAGAGAGAGAAAAAAAAGTGAGAGAGAGAAAAAAAGTGAGAGAGAGAAAAAAAGTGAGAGAGAGAAAAAAAGTGAGAGAGAGAGAAAAACAGTGAGAGAGAGAAAAAAAACAGAGAGAGAGAGAAAAACAGAGAGAGAGAGAGAGAAAAACAGAGAGAGAGAAAAACAGAGAGAGAGAGAAAAACAGAGAGAGAGAGAAAAACAGAGAGAGAGAGAAAAAACAGTGAGAGAGAGAAAAAACAGTGAGAGAGAGAAAAAACAGTGAGAGAGAGAAAAACAGTGAGAGAGAGAGAGAAAAAACAGTGAGAGAGAGAGAAAAAACAGTGAGAGAGAGAGAGAAAAAACAGTGAGAGAGAGAGAGAGAAAAAACAGTGAGAGAGAGAGAGAAAAAACAGTGAGAGAGAAAAAGACAGAGTGAGAGAGAGAAAAAGACAGAGTGAGAGAGAGAAAAACAGTGAGAGAGAGAAAAAAGAGAGAGAGAAAAAACAGAGGAGAGAGAGAAAACAGAGTGAGAGAAAAACAGTGAGAGAGAGAGAAAAACAGAGTGAGAGAGAGAGAAAAACAGAGTGAGAGAGAGAGAGAAAAACAGAGAGAGAGAGAAAAAAACAGAGTGAGAGAGAGAGAAAAAAACAGAGTGAGAGAGAGAGAAAAAAACAGAGTGAGAGAGAGAGAGAAAAACAGAGTGAGAGAGAGAGAGAAAAACAGAGAGAGAGAGAGAGAAAAACAGAGTGAGAGAGAAACAAAACAAAGAGAGCTAAACAGAAAAAGGAGCCAGAGAGAGCTAATGATAAAAACAAAATAGAGTAAAACTGGATGATAGAAAGAGAAACAGAGAGGTTAAATAACTAAAGTGATAAAGAGAGAGAGAGAAGGAGAGAATTGATTTTTTAAGCATTTCTGCTGTATTAACTTTCAAAATTAATCATTTAAAGTACTTTATCTATTATTATGGATTTTCTTTTTATTTTCTTTAAAATATTTATTACTAATTTGAGAATGACTCAAGAAGTAGTTTCTCGCCCAAGAGGCACATTGAAAACAATTATTGAATTATTATTCATCAGTTTGGTAGTTGTGATTTTTATTTATTTATTTATTTTTTTTTTTACTTGACATCCATCCAGGAAGGATAAGCAATTGAAAGATTTAATGACAAATGCAACTTGCAAAAAATCCAAGCTTGCTTTCCTTCATTTGTTCTTTGCTTCGCAAAAGTATGTTGCGTTTCACAAAAAGCTTAAAACCTATTGAAATTTTTCAACTTGAATTCATAAACACTTGTTTCTTCAACATTTTACCATGTCAAATTTCCTAAACTAAAAGAAAAATAGTTATTGATTATATATGTATGTATACACACACACACAGTGTGATGGATAAATTGTCTAAATTACACAAAAATGAACACAACACTGAGATCTCATTTTAACAGATATATTTACCAAAATTACGCAAAAATATCTTGAAATACTAAAGAGTAAATTTATTCAGTAAAATCGCCATTGGCTTCAACCACAGCTTCCAGATGACTTTGGAATTTCCCGTAACTCTTCTGGATAGTCTCCTTGTTTAAGTTGGTGAATGCTGCCATCATCTTTGCCTTCAGCTCATCTTTGGTGTTACAAGGAGTTTTGTTGGTCTCTCACTCAACTGCACCCCACACATAATAATCAAGGAGTTTGCAGTCTGGGGAGTTAGGTGGCTAGATATAAAGGGAGGGCGGTTGATGTGGCTGCAAAAGTTGTCTGACAGCCATAGCCGGGTACTCTTGCTTGTTTGGTATGGTGCAGTTTCCTGTTGTCAAACATAGGGTCTTCCAGCAGCCACCCTTTTAACCCAGGGAAGCACTAACTGCTCAAGGCACTTGATGTAGGCCTTTGAGTCTGAGACCCTGTGGGAAGATGAATAGAGACATAACGTCAATATCACTAGTAATCACTCCAAACACCTTCATAATCACAATTAGACTCATCCAACTCTTTCTGAATCCTCTGCACCATCCTCAGATTGACACCCAAACACTCTGGAATGTTCATATTCAGAGCATCCAGCACAAATGCCAAGTAGTACAGTGTGCCATTTCCAAATTTCTAGCAGAGTGAATTGCGTCATGGTCCTCTTTTTCTCACAGATGGTGCCCAGCTGACCCTACTATACTGGGCAGTCAACAAAATCAAAAACAAACAGCATACATCTGTGAAATTAAAAATATAAAATGATGACAATTTACTCATCGTACACTACATGTGTGTGTGTGTGTGTGTGTGTGTATGTAAGTTTCATTAAAAATGATTGACAAGGTACTGTGGTTAAGTTTTTTTTATTTAATTTTTCTTGTGTTCTTAGAATTTTCTTCTTTTCCAAATGTAAATTATGTAGAAACAGTCAAAATGTTTTGTATGTCCAAGTGCTTTCAGCTATACTTTTAACCATTATCAAAGATGATTTTATTTTTTACTTTTAACTGAATGTATGGATTGTTTTATGTATGTATTTAGAGTTATAAGAAAGACACGGTCAGCATATTGTGGCCATGTTCATAGTTGATATTATTGAGTATTGCCTTTTTTCTTTTTTTATTAATAATGCTTCCATTATTTTTAGCCTTTTTTTACATGTGGATGAGGCTATTATATTTGTATTATCAACGAGTATGTTGCAGAGAGTTTGAATGCGCTTGGATGTACAAAACATTTGGACAATTTCTACATAATTTATGTCCAGAAAAGAAGAAAATTATAAGAAAACAAGAAAAATTCAATAAAAAAACTCCAGTAACTTGTCAGTCATTTTTAATGAAACTTGTATAAAAGCAGGATTGCTGCCCATATATGTAAATAAAAAGCGACAAGAGGAAAACTATTCTTATCTGACACATTTTATCCTCTGAGGGACTTGAGCAAGGCAAATGTAAGGATTTATTTTGTTGCATTTATTTATATACAAAAGCAAAGATTTCATTGGTTTATCAAGGCTTTTAAATATAAGAACGTTCATGAATGTTCATCAATTGGCTGAAAGGTCAGTCAGGTCCTGTGGGGGATACAAAGTGTCTGAATTCAAAGTCTGACAAAAAGTAAGCGAGTGATATTCAAAAATTTTTTGAAAACTTTTTCATTTAAAAAAAAGATAAATAAGTTCTTGAATATTACTTGCCAGACTTTGAATTCTGAGACTTTGGGTCTTCCATATGTTTTGACTGACCTTTCAACCACCTGATGAACATTCATGAACGTTCCCAAATTTAAAAGCCTTTTATAAACCAATGACATCTTTCCTTTGTATATAAATACATGCAATAAAATAAATCCTACATTGCCTTGATAAAGTCCCTCAGAGGATAAAATGTGTCATCTAAGAATAGTTCTTCCTCTTGTCTCTTTATTTATTTTCTTCCTCTACAGATACACCTTATCTATCTATCTTCTCTCTTATATATATATATATATATATATATATATATATATATATATATATAATCCTTTAGAAAAGAATAAATAGAGTTTGTTCCTTTCATGATCATTTGGAATCATTGATTTTAAAACTTGGATAATATGAGAAGTAAAATTATCTGAAGATTAACAAGACCGAAATGCAATTTTATTCTTTTTAGACCACCCATCTTGATCTGTTTTGACAGTTTTCCCAAACATCTAATTCAATTCTCAAGTGTTTTGAAGAAAAAAAAAAATCTTTCTGGAGAAATGTTTTCTTTGATATAAATTTTGCAAATGCATTTTACAAATATACTGCATTTCACAAAGATCTTTGTTAAATGTGATGCCAATTTTGAAACTATCACTGCACTGAAAACAACTTGCATTCATCTTAAAACACAAAAAGGCCACAATAATATCAAATACTACAATACATGCACCATGATAAAAAAAAAAAAAAAAAAAAAAACAGAAAGAGACAAAAGGCCAAAGTTTAACAACAAATACCAGCATGTGGTGAATACTGACAAGATTAGTTACTTCAATGTATTATTATTATTATTATTATTAACTATATACTGGGAATAAAGTAGATGAAAAAAAATCTTACCATCCATTTCGATGTCCATGGATGACAAATGATGGAAGAAAGAGAAGGCAAGCATTAGATCCAATCTCAAAGGAAATATGGGGGAGTGATCTTTTCTCTGGAGAAGAATGATAACGAGCCAGCAGAATTGATCAACAAATCATCCTAACCTAACAAGTAGTTGGGGATGCAAGGGTGGATGTATATCTGGTATGTGGGTGAAGCTAATGGTTAAGGTGATTGACAAAAATGCTCCTTTTGCAAACACACAGCTAAAACAACTTTCTGTAGAAGCTATTTTGCTCACAATGGAAAATAAATAAATACTCTCAAAAGGACATGGAAAAAAAAATTAAAGCAAAATATATTTGTCAATGTTGAGAAAAACAGATGTGAAAGAAGAAATTTTGAAATTGAAGCTAATCCAAAACCTATTCATGTTTAAACTGACTACAATTATAGATTTTATATTTATCTTGTTGGATTAGAGTCGACACATCTGTCTGAGAAAAAAAATGATTGTTTCCTAAATTTAATATAAAAATTACACAATGAGATAGAATATTCCATGGCTGTTGTACAAGCTTTTTGAATAAGTCAGTGGATTAAAGAAAACAAAAACTAGGAGCAATCAAGAATTGGTAAGCAGATTTTGGTAAATGAGAAATTACTATTCATTGTTTGCATGAGAAAAGAAGAAAAACGCATGGATCAAGTCAAACATTTTAAAGACTTGAGGGAAATTTCCATTTGATAGAATTTATATTGGGATTTTGTAATGTTTGCAGTGTTAAACCAAACAACACTTAAAATGTGGGCTCATAATTACAATAGGGGAGAAAAAATGTACTGCATGTGCCAACGTAGAAGCCGACTTTTTGAGCATAACAAAAATGGTTCATTCAAGCTGTAGGTTCTTTTAATTTGAAATGCTCCTGTCTTTTCACTTTTCCAGGGAATTACAGGCCAAAATCTCAATGAACAATTTGGAATTTTAAAAGTCGACTTATATGTCAGCATAAGCAGTAATTTGCACTATCAATAAACATTGCTGGAGTTCTAAATGTGAATTTTCTAAAAGAAATGGTAATTTCATTGACAAAGTTTTCAAATACAGTAGTGTTTTTTCTGTACAAAAAACACTGGTTTGTAACAATGAAGAAGGTATTTTAGGCATTTATTATCAAATTATTTACACTATTTACATCGTTTGGACTGTTCCCATCTTTATTGCCATATTCACAATGTTTTGGGCATTGTATGCTCCAGCCTTCTACAGGTGATATATATACATTGTAGTTTTGAACCAGACCCTTTATTTAGTCCATGGAGGTAGATTGTCCTATTTCCATGAGCCAGGACATTTTTTTTTTTTTTTTTTTTTGGGATATCTCCGTATCAGTTAATTCCTTTACTAAACTCAACTCTCCAAGATTTTGTTCCCTTTGCTGTGGCCTCAAGGACACATGGCTTTAGCTGAATAATCCAAAAAGTGACTTGACCCAAAGAGTTGTGAGTTCAATACCTGGCCACAGCAGAGGGAAGAAAAACTCAGAGAATTGAGTTACTAAAGAGTTAACTGATACTGAGATATCCAAAAAAGGCATATCACATAGAATTAAAACAATCTACCTCCATGGACTAAAAGGGTTTGGTTCCAAATTCCAATGCATATCACCTATAGAAGGTCGGAGTGTAGAATGGCAGAAACATAAATATGGCAATAAAGATGAGGACAACAGTCCAAACGATATAAATAGTTACAATACTGCATTTTAGAAATATAGAGAGATTTATTATCAAAGTTGATAAAATTACCTGTCGGTTTAAAACATTAAATATTTGGTTATATAGAAGCAAAACAAATAACTAACAAAGAAACCAAATGGGCTGTAGTAAGAATTCAAAAGAAATATAACCTAACAAAAGTCTTCCATCAATCTGTGTATGTTGTTTTTTTTTTTTTTTGACAGCTAAAAGAAAAATGGTATCTCAATAAAACTTCACATGTTATAGGCATTGAAAAAAGTGTTGAGTTATTATTTAAGTCATTTAAATTTGAGAGAAATAGAACAAAAAGTTTGCATTAACAGTTTCAGCATGAAAAGTTTAAATGCATTCTTAATAGGCAGGTTAGCGTATTTGTAGATGATCCAGATTTGAAGGCAGACAAAGGCTTGAACCTTACAATTAGAAATGATATCAAAATGCCGTTCATGTCACAATATATCATGTGGATAGGTTTAATGAAAAGCGTTTATGAAGAAATATTGAAATGTGATTATGAAAATTCCAAGCTGATTATCACAAGTTGCATGTTTGAGGTGATTTTGGTAACCCTCAGTCATTCCACTCATATCAAGAAGCACGGAGTTAAAAAAAAAAAAAAAATGTAAAAAAATAATAATAAAAAAAACAGGGTTAGTAGAAACCAATAAAACTAAATAAAACAGCCATCGTTCAACAACTTATCATAAAAAAAAAAAAAGGTAAGAATCGTTACCTGACAGAAACGGTGTACAAAGAATCATGAAGAGAAGAAAAATGAAAATTTTCATGAAACAAACACAGAAAAAAAAAAAATAGGGAAAAAAAAAAAAGAAAAGAAAAAGAAAAGCAAAATGAACTCAAAATCCAAACGAAAAATGTTATTCCACTGAAAGACATAACTGAAAAGTTAAAGATTTGCAGATGTGAGCGTTAGGTGAGGGCAGGGGAGAATGGGGGGTGGGGGCTGGGGGTTTAAGGAAAGAAGCCACAACTAATAACTAGCCTTTCTTCACCTATCAAAGTTGTCTTAGAAATGTGTAGGAGGAGGAGGAGGAGGAAGAGGAAGAGGAAAAGGAGGAGAGGAGGAGAAGGGAGGAAGAGTACTTGATGTGTTGGACAGGTTCCAGTGTTTGATGCACACGTTTATGTCATGCATGTATAATAAAGGTCGAGTGCATCAGCATTGCAGGAAATTCAATTGATGCATAACCACTTTAGATAAACTTGTTGCAATCCAAAGAGTAGCAATAAAAGAAGGAAGAGTTCAGAAAGGTTTTGGAGAGCAAGCGAAAACCAACCAGAAGAAATGGCTGATCCTGAACCAACACAACAAGCAACCACCAGAAATTGCTGAGGTCCAAGAAACATAGGTGCAACATCTATCTATTATGATACACCAACATCTACAGGACAATTTTCTTTTTTTTTAAGTGAAGAAACTAGAGGCAAGAGAAAAAATCTGTTGCCACTTGCTAGCCATACTTTAAGGGGTACATTGGTTGAAGTGAACGAGTGTTTCAAAACATCAGAATTGCATACAGCTATAGTCAGGTGATTCTTTTTTTTTTTTTTCTTTTAGAGTTTCATTTTCGTAATAAAGAAAGTGAGGTAAGTGTTGAAAAGTTAGGAGTAAAAAACTGAAAACTCACCAGGAGTAATAGAAGAATTTGAAATCACAATTGCATCTTCCACATTGGTTTGTAACGGCTGCTGATTGAGGCCATCAAATGTAGTTAACATTACATTCTTCTCCTCCTTCGTACTTTTACCTGCAACAATTTTATTCAAAGTTCACAATACTTTTTATGGGATCAACATTGGGTTACCATATCTTAGGACAATAGGGTGATATCATTTGCTTTCTTTTAGCAATTTTTTTTTTGTTCAATATTATGAGTTGTTGTCTTGACCATTCGTTCAAATCAACCTATCAATGGCAAAAATCCAAAAATTTCAAAACAAGAATAAACCTTCTGCTTGTGCCATGTTGTCATTACACAGGATTAAATTTGGATCAACTGTTGATGTGATGATGACGAAGATCCGTCAATCAGATGGATACAGGACTTTTTTTTTCCGGTTTCTTTTTCTTTAATGTTTGTGTATCATTTTCCTATGAAGGCAGGCAAAAAATCTCATTGAAAGTGAACAGGATTTAAAATACATACCTTATCTCTTCCACCTAAGGACATTCTGAAGGCCAAGGCATGTATAGCTGCCTACAACTGGTTTTTCCAGGTTAAACTCTTATCAATCTATTCCCTAAGATGATCTAAGTGAAGATTTGAATATTCAACCTACTGACAACTTGAAGCAGATTGTTATTCAACAAAAATGACATTGATGTCTTGATTTTGCTTTTAATCATTAAAGGAACTTTTTACTTTTAAGGAAAATGCCAAACTATGTTGCTTAAGAAAAAATAAAGAATGAACTGCAAAATTCCTCACAATGTGAAATGGATAGTTGGCTATCACTTTTTAGATTTAATAAAATAATGTGATCCCAAATCCAATTCATTGGTGGAGAAAAAGAAAACATAAATGAAATTAAGTTAGGTGATGTTTAACCTTTGTGCCTGCAAAAGACAATGCACCAAAAGAATGGATATTCTATTGACACTGCTATTACTGTATAAACTTTTGACTCCCTCAGCAATATTTGTTTTTAAAATCTGATGATTAGAATTTTAATAAAATTCAAACATATGAAAATGGATTTATACATTTTCTTTATTCTTGAGAATTGACAACAAAGATGTTAAACACTATTAGATTGAATAAAAAACTTGTTTTCATAATTATTTATAAAATGGTAAATAATAAATATTGCATTATACTTTGTTTACATATTTTGATAATTTTGTCATATTTTAATAAATTTTAATAAAAAGATTTCTTTTCTAATTTATTTTTTCATAAAATAGTAAATCTTTATAAAATAATAAAAAACGCATTTTACTTGGTTCACATAATTTTTATAATCTTGTAAATAAACATTGCCGAGGGAGTCAAAAGTATATACAGTAATAGCAGTGTAAATGGAATAACCATCCTTTTGACACACTTTCATTTTTTTGTGGGCATAAAGATCAAACATTGCCTTAAGTTAATATAATTCTATTATTTTTGAAGGCAATTCTATCTTGATTTCTGCTTTTGACCTTCTTAAATAAACTATCGCCTCTATCCATTGAACAACATCTTACTGTACATGTAAGATATCAAAAAGAATTTGACAATACTTTTAAAAGGGAATCAAGGATTTCTACACAATCTCTTCAATTCTGGGCTGTTTGGCATAACTGGTTGTAGGAGGTTTGGGGAGAAAGAAATTGAATCAAACATCAAATGGTTATTTTTGTTGAATGGGTTAAAAGGGTTTTAGGATGTACAACTCACAGGCCTGACAAACTTTTCAAGCTGGAGGACCAAAATCACCCTTCGGACTAAAGCTACACATGCACATTAAGTGGAAACAATAAATGATGAATTGTAGTACCATTGGTTGTCATGCTGGCTGGACCCATAACAGAAGGGTTGGTTGATATTCCTCGGCTGCCCTTGGGCCGAAGACCAGGGATCTTCACTGTAGTCCGGACCAGATTGATCTCCTTACCGTGCACTTCATCCATATAATCCTGAAGGAAAAGTAAACAATATACAATGGATGTTTATTTCAAAGACAAAAGGTTGACTTTTGTATCTTAACGCTAAAATCACATTTTTATCAAGTCAACTCTTGCAGAATAATCAAGACAGAATTAAGGTAATAATTACATCATTAAGAATTCAGATAATGACAAGCACTTTCTGAGAATTGGTAAAAGATCTTTAAGGTATTGTTTTTATTTTGTACCAATTTGAATTAAAAGGTCTTCAGTGTTTGCACTAAGTAAAATTGGCATTTTATGTAAAATAAACTTTTACAGCTTAAAAAAACAGTGTTATTTAAAAAAAAAAAAAATATTGTCCTTTCAGCATTTTATATGTTTCTGTGTAGCAACTCATAGGAAAATATTTACTCCAAGTCGACACTAACAAAACAGAAAATGTATGCCATAAGGAAGTGCCAATTTCTTTTTGGCAGCAATAAGCAGAAACTTAAAAATAGAAGGAAACAAAAAAGATTGTCTCTTTGTTGCCGGAGTTAATTTAGAAAATGTATTTTTGTCTTTCTTCTTAAAGCAGTCAGCTGTTGAAAGCAAAAATCAATCATCTTTATGGCCACATATTGATGTATGCCTTTTAATTTGTAAGTTTGCAAGACGGGTTTTGTCGACATTAATTACTGTACATCTTTCTTTCTTTTTTTTTTTCCTGCTGAGAGAATAACAGAATCAATAGGTTAACCTTTTGTCGTACTTACATGCAAGCTGGGATGGTAAGTCAAGCGTCCATCGTCCAGTAGTGTCACATACTTTTTCTTCCATTCTTTATTCAGACCATGACTTCGTTTATATAAATAGCCCTGAAAAACCAAGAGAACATAAGAGAGAATTCTATCTTCAGAAATCGCAAATCAATTCCTTCCTAAAGAGTCAAGCAGAGAAAAATCATTCAATTTCAAGGAAAGACATTATGAGAAAATTTTTTTTTTGTTTTTATAGATCGATTTGAAATCATACAATTAATCGTTTTTAGTTTGTTTTATGAGATGAAATCAAATTTGGCTTGTTGCTGCTTTTTTGTGAAATATCCTCAGGGGACATCATCAAAAAGGGACTTTCATTTAAAAAAGATGGAAGAAAAAAAACAAAGGGTTCTTGAAAAAAAAGGAGGATTTTCTTTTGGTAGGGAATTATGACTGCTTCTAAGAACACAAGAATTGTTTTTATGTCTTGTGATAGCAATTCCTTCATTCAAACAATGAGACAGGAAAACTACCTGGTTAAACAATAAAAAACAAAAATGTTTTTCATCGAGCTATAAACAAAATTATGAACTGGTGATAACAAAGATCAGACTACAAGTAACATACCTGGATTATTCATGCAATCACCTGCTTGGTTTTTATCCAAACCAAATTTTGCTTCATTAATTTTAAATTCATTGCTGCCACTTAAATTGCTTCTTGTAGCAACTCAGGTTGTCGTCAATCAATAGCAGTGAGTAGAGACAATGGATTGGAAATCACTATTTCCACAACAAATATTCAGATAATCTATATCCCTTAGTTCCACCAGTTCAGACCTTCCTAGCTAGGATTGACCATACCATATACACAACACCAACTCATCCTCATTCCCTTAGCATTCATTTAGTAAAGAGGAAATTCTGCTCAGACAGATTCTTCCCGAGAACAGCTACTTTGTGGAACAGACTCCTGACAGGATGCTTCTTCGACAACTACAATCTTAACCTCTTCAAGTCTCAGGTCAACTATATCTACCATACATATACTCATTGTTAAATAGTTCAAATGTACATTTACTACCAAGTACAAGTATTAATATAAACTTGTACTTTAAGTTGAACTGTTCCACCTGAAATGTGTTCTGCCTATTGAGTCCTATAGAAACCCTTATTGTTTTTCCACCAGTAAATACCTATAAAATCCACTTGCCTTTGACTGGTATTTATATTTTGATTTTAACCCAATCTCGAGGGGGAGGGGTGCTTCCTAGGCAGAAGGGAGGGGGCTGAATTTATTGCCTAGCACCTGAGGTGCCCACAAAAGGGGAAGTGCCAAGGGGGTTTGGAAATTTTTCCACAGTATTGCCGAGAAATCCACCTTAAACTGACCTTGTGTCACAACTGGTTACAGGGTGGGGGATGTCAGAAATTTTTGCCTGATGAAGTTAATATCAGATGAGGTCAACACCCCATAATAAGCACTTCTTATAATCTTCATTGGAGGCACAGTGAAGAAATGTATTGTGACTCAGATTGAGGAATTGGGGAGCCAAGTTCCCTTGGACAACATTGGTGGTGTAGAGAGGGGAGACATGCTGCATGGGCAACTGCAGATCTCTTATAAAAAAAAAAACTCTGCTCAGGTCTGTACTATTCGGGTACAGATTCATGTTCTCTTGAGACACATGAATGCCAATCCTGTATGTTTTTGAAACAACCTTATTCTGTAACCCTCTACCTTGAGTGGTTCTTGGGTCTTGTATTGGGTGAACAATAGTTAAAATAAAAATAAGGATTAAAGAAAACCGTTGTGCCCCATATTACTCTTTTCTTTTCCAGCTCATTAGTAATGATTTTACAAATTTTTGTGTTTTAACTAATATTTTGTTGTCTTATGAAAGAAGAAAAAAAAAAAATTTCAAAATAAGCCTAAAAGTCACCATGCTTCCTTACCTGTTTGATTGGTATAACTCCGACCACTTCCCAATTTTTCTGTTTCCAATTTCTTCTCATCATCCTTTTTAGGCTGTAGAGTAAGAGAAGTTCAAATTCAGAAGGATGTATACTCTTGATAACGAGAGGCTGGGTTAGAGGAACACAAAATAAAAAAAACAAGACACATCAAGAGAAAACAAACAAGGCTTCCAAATAACACTTCAACTATGTCCAGTCACACACACCAGTTTTTTTTGTTTTTTTTTATTGTTTGACACTCATTGTATTCTAAGAAGTGATGCAAAACAGATGATTGGAGGAACAATGAATGGCAAATGAAAAGTTAATTAAAAATTTATAGTGCTGGATAGAAATGTTATCAAATATGGAGAAAAGAATTATTATGCAGATGACTGCAATGAGTAGAAATGAAGGGAAATAATTTTGGAAAAAGTTTCAATTTAAGGGCAACACAAAGGCTGGTCAGAATAAGAATCTTTTCAGCAAAGAGATTTTTGTAAAAATAAAAACAAAGTCTCTTTGATTTTCATAATCAGATGAAGATAGAATTGACTTTTCTTTTTAAAAGATGGCAGCAGAAATAATTTTGCAAGAAATACTCTCAAAAAGACTAAAGGTTTGAAAAAAAAAATTCTTTTTTTTTTTTTTCAAAAGGGATAGAGAATTTAGGAATGATATTCTGAGAATTTCAAAAGACAATTAAAATTGTTAAAGATAAATATCTGGAAGAAAGAGCTATGCTATAAAAAAATTATCACCATTTTATATTATGAGGCAGATGAAAAGAATTCCTGCTTCAGGTTCTTATAAAACTGAGTTTTTTTGTTTTTTTTATTAAAACAAGTTTTTTAATCAATCAAATGAGGCTGTTTTATGAAATTATGTTCATCTATTTTGACAAACAAGTTGTCTATCCATTGTTCTGGACATTTAAGCCAAAAGAAAAAAAAAAAGTAAAAAAAAAAAAAAGGAGGGGAAAGGAGAGGAGGAGAGAAAAGGGGAAGGGAGAAGAGAAGAGAAAGTGGGAAAGGAAGAGAGGGGGAAGGAGGAGAGAGGGGGGAAAGGAGGAGAGAGAGAAAGATATTGAAATTTATATCAGATAATTTAAATTGTCTTGTTTTTGAAGACATCAACTCAGGAAAAAAGAGAAGTGTAAGTGTTGGATGAGTCTTCATATTGTTGCAACTGGTGCATCCAACCAAATTTAAATAATGAAAGAGAAAGGAAATGGCCACTGAAGTCTATTTGAAGAAGCAGTGGATGTAGGGGGGGGGAGGAGAAAGATCTTATAATAAATCTAGTTATTGTTGTAATCAAAGAGAAATTAATAGCAATAGTACTTCTCCAATGATTACTAATAAAGTCGTAAGCTTTTTATGAAAAGAGACAGGGAGAAGATCAGCTTCCTTCGACACAGGAATGTGCATTATCAAAAGACAAAAAAAAAAAAAAAATGGGAAACTCAAGCATCTTTGAAATCAAAACCTTTTAAGAGGTTTGAATGTTCAACTCTCAAGTGTCACAAACTCAGAGTTAACTACTCAAGTCTTGGAAGATCATGTCTAATAGAATTGAATTTAGCAAATCCTCTCATTCTAACAAAGATTGAATGTAGGAAGTCAATAAGGAAAAACATTGATCCACATTTAGACAAGTTGGACAGATTAATCTCAACTTGTATCATAATACAAATATTTATTTTAATTTTCTTTTAAAGAAGCCCATTTGATTATTCTAGTGAGAGAATAAACAAGGATGAATACTCTCATTAAATTCTTTGAAATTTTGTATGATGGCAAAATAGCCGAAACCTTCCCAATTCATAAGAACTAGGCAAAAACAAAAAAGATTTCTCAAATAAAAAAAAAAAAAAAAAAAAAAAAAAAAGGAATGCAAAAATCCAAATTTAAATTGGAAATGTGTAGAACTAAGAAAAGGGTTTGTTTTTTTAAATAGAAAGTTTATCAAATAATCATTTAAAACTGTATAGGTGTGATCGATGTCTTACTGTCATTGACATAATGACTTCTTTTTAAGTTAAGAGGAAACAATCTTTGTTGATGAAGGGAAACTGATTTTCAGCATAATCATTTACCAGGGAAAAATTGATTTTTTTTTTTTTTTTGGTAACCTAACATAACAAAAGTGAAGACAAGTTAGACTACATCGGTCTATATTTCTGAGATGAGGCATTGTAACTATTTACAGTGTTCAGACTGCTGTCCTCATCTTTGTTGTGATATTCATGTTTCAGCTGTTATACACTTTGGCTTTCTTAAAGTTAGACTATTTATAATAATAATAATAATAATAAACAACCCTCCTGTAAAGAAAGACATTTGACAGGTTAAAGAGCCTGGCAGCTTTGTGACAATATGTGTAAATTGGCATTATGCAATAGACGACGTGATCACAATGCCACAAGCAGTACAATATAAGGCAGTGAGGAGGAGGAGGACGATGACAACAACAACAACACAAAGACATAGAGGCAACAGGATGAAAATGCGACTACGCTCTGCTTTGATGTATTTTACTAAAAGACAATATAACGCGCAACAGAAAGCAATAGCAGCAATGAAGGTGTTGTGCATAAAGAGAAATGTCAAAATAAATAAGGATAAATATGGATGTGATGAAAAAGGAATCGCCATTAATGGAAAAAGAAGTCTTGATGACAAAAGCCACAATAATCAAGATAAAAGGTTAATGAAATTAAGTGGCATGATGAAAGAATTAAAATGGCAAAAGGTTTTGATTTCTTTTTCATAATATTCTACAAGACTGATGGAATTTTTTTTTTTAGGGAGTTGGTCTCAGTGCATTGGAGAGGGGTTGATACAGTGTGAAATAAAGATGTATTGACGCCACATCATGTTGAACAAGTTGCATGTGGGGATATTTTTCATCATAGGAATCAAACCAGAGTTACTTCATCTGTGGCTCTCAACATAGTCAGAATCATATCTTCTATGGCCAAATCATAATTTCTAATATTTAAATTAAACTTACTTTTAAGAAATAAAATTTCCACAAAAATTATGGTAAGAAAATCTTCAATGAATGCAGACATTTGACAAATTCAATTTGCCAGCTCTTTGATTATTTCAATAATACAAAGATCTGAAATGTTGAGATGGCCAAGATGAAGAAGAGATGAAAATATAGTCCCCGTAAATGCAAAGAAATTTTCAAAGCATCAAAGAACAATGGACAAAGCAAAAAGATAAAGTTTTGTAGTTACCCCAGAATTAAATAAAATGACAATACAATTTGATATGAGGAAGAAAAAAAAAAAAAAACTTATACTAAAAAAAAGTCAAAAAAGAAAGACATAGAAATCAAGAGAAAGAAAGAAAAAAGAAGTCATGATTACAAGATGAGAAAAATTTTCCAGTTGTCACAGCCTGGCTAAAAGGATAAGGCAAGGGAGGCAGTTAAGGAAGTGAGATGAAGAATAATAAGCAGCTTTTGTTTCCAGAATTAGTTTGAGTCAATTGCCACAGCAGGACAAATGAATTACAAGTTTCATAAGAAAAAAAAAAAATTTACTTCCAGAGGGCGGGGGAAAAAAAAAAAAAAAAAAAACTGCTTGCCAAAAAAAAAAAAAAAAAAAAAGAGTGCTTGCCAAATTTATTGACTGAAACTGAATTCAAGTGTCAGTGCTGCTGTTTTATACTAAGTCTGGTTAGTGAGACTGCATTTCATAGACCAATTTTAATACATCTTCTCTCAGCATCAGCCATATTTTTGTCGGTTGAATTCACAAAGCTGCTCTCATGGGCTTTCTTGTAGAGAACTAAATTTTTCCAAACAATTTATATTAGAACAAATATTAAAGAAATGCAATTAATAAAGACATATTACTTGATGACATTTACAAAGTGATATGCCATATAAATGTCAAATTCACTGTTTACATGAAAAAAAAAAAAAAAAAAAAAAAAAAAAAAAAAAAAAAAAAAACATTGAGATGAGAATGAAGTCTTAATTGACAAAAAAGAAAGGAATTCTTAAATAGTAAAGGCAGGCTCACATAGTCGATTGACAAGATCAAGCAATGGCAAAAGGAAAGACAGAGGGAAATAAAGAGCCTAAAAATAAAATACAGGTCAATTAGCAAAATGAGAAGAATAGACAATTTGATTACAAATATTAATCAGAATCACATTTATTTAGCAAAATGAAAGAAAAATTATTGTATTGTTATTAAAAATAAATTGGTTAAAAAAAAAAAGAAAAAAAAGAAAATATTTCTAAATTTGGAAAAATATTTGAGAAAAAAAAAATGAAGATTTATAAGAGATAAGAAAAGAGCATTTTTTTCTCATATATTTATAAAATAGAAATCATTTATGATTAAATTGTAATTTAAATTTAAAAAATTATTCAATTCAAACCACAGTAATTGCAAACACACTGGTGGTGGCAGTGAGGGGCATCAGATATTTAAGAAGCAAGCTCCAGTGTTATATGGAATGTCAAATTTTAATATCCTTTTTCCTTTCAGATATATCAAAAGCCTTAACATGGTAGGTTTGAATCTGACAGAGGAAAGCCACCAACAATTTGGAGAGAATGGCCTCATGGTTTTCCAAAACTGAATTTCCAGGAGTACTAAGTCTGGGATGTCATCAAGGAGAAGACCAACCAGCAGCCACAAAAAACCAAAGACATAATAAAGGCTGCCATCATATTGGGTTTTCCAGAAAGTTCATGCCAATTTTTAGTCATTCATGTTCCAACACATTAGAATAGGTTAAATTTATCAACAGATATAATATGCTTACATTTCCGATTAGAGCACACTCCAAACTATCTCTTGAGAAAGAAAGTTTAAAATTACTTAATTCATGTCAATTTTGCATCTCTATGAAAATGGAAGATTATAAGGTGCACTTTAGACACTTGATAGTTTTTTATTTTTTTACTGTAAAGGCAAAAATGCTTCGCAAGCAACAAAAAAGATACACACAGTGAAGGTGCTTTAGCTGACAGAACTGTACAAAGTCATTCACTAACTTTAGAGTTGGTGATTGTAGCCTTATTGATGAAAAAATGCTCAGACCC